CTTCCCCAAAATTTTTTTTTTTCCTTTTTTTCTCTCAACCTCTATTTGCTCTCTTTTTACATTGCTTCACCACTCTCTTTTTCTCCATATACTCTTCCCTCCTTGCATCACTTCTACTTTGTAAAAAACTTCTCATATGCTAACTTTTTCTCCCTTACTAAATCTCTATACATCATCATTCCACCAATCGCTCCTCTTCCCTCCTGCACCCACTTTCCTGTAACCACAAACTTCTGCTGAACACTCTAACACTACATTTTTAAACCTACCCCATACCTCTTCGACCCCATTACCTATGCTCTCATTAGCCCATCTATCCTCCAATAGCTGTTTAATATCTTACCCTAACTGCCCTCCTCTTTTAGTTTATAAACCTTCACCTCTCTCTTCCCTGATGCTTCTATTCTCCTTGTATCCCATCTACCTTTAACTCTCAGTGTAGCAACAACTAGAAAGTGATCTGATATATCTGTGGCCCCTCTATAAACATGTACATCCTGAAGTCTACTCAACATCTTTTATCTACCAATACATAATCCAACAAACTACTGTCATTTCGCCCTACATCATATCTTGTATACTTATTTATCCTCTTTTTCTTAATATATGTATTTCCCCATAACTAAACCCCTTTCTATACAAAGTTCAATCAAAGGGCTCCCATTATCATTTACACCTGGCACCCCAAACTTACCTACCACACCCTCTCTAAAAGTTTCTCCTACTTTAGCATTCAGGTCCCCTACCACAATTACTCTCCACTTGGTTCAAAGGCTCCTATACATTCACTTAACATCTCCCAAAACCCTCTCTCTCTCCTCTGCATTCCTCTCTTCTCCAGGTGCATACACGCTTATTATGACCCACTTCTCGCATCCAACCTTTACTTTAATCCACATAATTCTTGAATTTACACATTCATATTCTCTTTTCTCCTTCCATAACTGATCATTTAACATTACTGCTACCCCTTCCTTTGCTCTAACTCTCTCAGATACTCCAGATTTAATCCCATTTATTTCCCCCCACTGAAACTCTCCTACCCCCTTCAGCTTTGTTTCGCTTAGGGCCAGGACATCCAACTTCTTTTCATTCATAAAAATCAGCAATCATCTGTTTCTGTCATCCGCACTACAATCCACGCACATTTAAGCATCCCAGTTTTTAAAAGTTTTTTCTTCTTCTCTTTTTTAGTAAATGTCTACAGGAGAAGGGGTTACTAGCCCATTGCTCCCGGCATTTTAAATCGCCTCATACGACACGCATGGCTTACGGAGGAAAGATTCTTTTCCACTTCCCCATGGACAATAGAAGAAATAAAGAAGAACAAGAGCTATTTAGAAAAAGGAGAAAAACCTAGATGTATGTATATATATATATGCATGTGCGTGTCTGTGAAGTGTGACCAAAGTGTAAGTAGGAGTAGCAAGATATCCCTGTTATCTAGCATGTTTATGAGACAGAAAAAGAAACCAGCAATCCTACCATCATGCAAAACAGTTATAGGTTTTTGTTTCACAGTCATCTGGCAGGACGGTAGTACTTCCCTGGGTGGTTGCTGTCTAACCAATGTTAAATTACAAATCTGATGCCACAAATACATTGACTAAATAGAAGAGACCATCTAGAGACATTGCAAAAGATACAATATTCCTCCCCACTCCCCATTATCAAAAACAAATCAGTGTAGGAAAAGTGGTAGCCCTTTTCACTTTCCCCATGGCAGTGCATCCATGGGTGACTGATACCAACCAGTCTACTGCCTCAGATAATGTCAACATACCATTTTCATCAGCAATTTTCTGGAGAGTTGACAAGGCTTTTTCAGAGTCTCCTGATGTGGCATCAAATCTTGCACTCTCTGGTAACCACTGAAAGAAAACATTAAATGAATGGTAATTTTAAAATATAAATCTTGTTTCACCTACTGTTAGTGACTGTGGCTAGGAATGTATTTTATTAATTTCTTTAGAATAAAGTAAATTCTTTAGTGGAAAGTTGTGAAAAAACTGCAAATATGACACTGATCAAAAGCTTTCTATAAAGTAGTTTATACATGTCAATTACTTCAGTGTCAATTGTATAATGTACTTCACTTTAAAGAAGTAAAGTTGTTTATTTTAAAACTGGTTAAAAAGAATGGCAAAAATGTATAGATAGTAAAACCAGATGTACAGTATTTTAGTTGCTGCACAATCTGAGAAAGGTATCCCCATAAAGCATAACCATGTACATTGATGCACATGAAAGGAATAGTGCCAAGTGTGGCAGAAGTTTCCAAAGCAGAGATGAAATTATACTGCCAATATAACAATAACTGACAATTAATAAGTAACAAACAGATTTGACAATTATTTCCAAACTAAATGACCCAGCTAGCTTTGGAAATTCCAAAGGCCGTTATATCAAGGATTTTAGAATAGACTTATCGTTCCCACTACCTGACACTCTAAGGTGTTCCACAGGTATAGAAGAAGCCATGAAACTGAAGTTTTTCCACAACTGACATTGTTAGCATATGGGCAGTATTAGAACCAACTAGCTAACACTGAAGGAGAATTCCAAAAGTGGCCAGTTTCTTGTGGAAAATGAAAGACATAACCCGGTGAGAGTAAACTGTCTGCCCAGACAAGGAAATTATGGGAACAGAATGAGTTTGGATTTTCTGAATGATAAGGAATCCTGCAGTTCAAGATGTACCAAGAACCATACTAAAGACAAACATCCAAAAAGAAGCTCAAGAGATCTCTAGGGTATTGTTGAAATAAATAAACAGGGAAAATCCATCAGGCCATAAATTCCCAAGCAAAGTGCAACAAACACAGGTGAAAAATCTCAATAAAGTCTTGAATTCACACAGTAGATGGAAGCATAAGTAATAGCAGAATTCCTGGTGAATAGATACATGGTGAATATCCTATAGAGAGCGACACGTAAGGAGACATGAAAAAAATATGGGTAAGACTCCAGCGAAAATAAACTTGAGACTTCTTGTGTGACATACAAAGCCAAGGGTTTATGGTAAGCAACCCAAGCTGAATGGGAAGTTTGTTGCCTTGCTCTGACATGGACTTCAAAATTTGTTGGTTTAACTGACATCCTCAGGGAGCACTCCTGGTAAAACTTTGGGAACTTGGAAAGTGGGACTTATGACCTCATCCACCTGATTATGTGATGAGAGGGTTTTTCTCCAGGAGTGGAATACAAATACAAATATTTATTTCCTTGTAAAGCTTACAATGTGTGGTTTACATGTTATAAGATTTTAATTACAAAGATGGCCACTATCATGCCTAGGCACTTTAGGCAGACTAATACTAATTCTTATGCTATTTTGATACAGGTTACATTTGAGCAATACATTTGAACATATTATTAGGTACATAATTAGATACATTCCCAGATAGGTACATACATAATTAGGTTTATAATAGTTTGGTAGTCCAAATCATTTAATTTTATTACAAATGGTAGATTTAGAAATGGGATTTGATTTGTCTTGGCATGTTACACTGTTTGTATTAAAGCCATACTAGAGGAGGATCTTAGACAAACTTAGGATTAACTTATGATTTAATAAGATTGCCACAAGATTTAACCCTCTGACTGTTTACGGCGTATATATACGTCTTACGCGCCACTGTTTCTGACGTATATATACTCAATAATTCTAGCGGCTTCAAATCAAGCGGGAGAAAGCTAGTAGGCCCACATGTGAGAGAATGGGTCTGTGTGGTCAGTGTGCACCACATTAAAAAAATCCTGCAGCACACAGTGTGTAATGAGAAAAAAAAAACTGATAGTTTTTTTGGATTAAAACGCCGACTTTGAGGTGTATTTTCGTATGGTATTTATCGTTGTATTCGCGTTTTCATGGTCTTAGGTGATAAAATGGAAAACATATTACAGAAATAGAGATGATTTTCATTACTTTGACGATGAAAACGACCTTGAAACTGAGCTCAAATTAGCGGAAATGTTCGATTTTTACCAATGTTCATGAGTAAACAAATCACACCACACGTCCAATACACATCAACTGGGGAGTCTAATATTCTTTCACTAGTGCACTGATATTATTTATACCATTTTTACAATAATGCAGTAGTCTGCATAACAGTAAATTTTGTATTTTTTTGTATGAATAAAAAATCAAAATAGAAAGCAATAATAATATAAGAGGGGCCTAGAGATGTGACTAATGAACAGAGGATTGACTAATGAACAGAGGATATGTTATTTTAGTGCCAAGAATGTCTACCTTGTTTATTCTGGACCCTATTTTGAAATTGGCATCTTTTTTAGTTTGCGTGAAATTGGCCAAATTGCCAATTTCTGACCACTATATTGGGTAGTTCAAATTGGTACATGGGCAGTTTCTTGTACTCAGCTGATAGATAAAATGGAGTTCTAAAGAAATAGCTATGAGTTTGGTCAACTGGAACAACGGAATTGGCTGAAAACAGGGCTCAAAGTCGGCGAAATCGCCGATATGCATATGTCGCCGAGACTGCTAACTTCATGGAAGCGTAATTCCGTGAGTTTTCTACCAAATTTCAAACTTTTGGTGTCATTACCATTGGGAAAGGATTCTTTATCATTTCATAAGAAAAAATAAAAATTTTTTTCAAAAATTTATCGACATAGAATGACAGTTTCAGAAAGGGGCCTGCGACAGTCAAAGGGCTAATAGGCAATAGCTATATTAGGAATTGCATGTTTACAGTCCCTTGGGTGGGTGAAGGTGGAAATTATGGGGGAATTACAGATAACGAGAGTAAGTCTATATTGTTTTGGATGTGTTCATGATATAAAAAAGAGAACTGGGTGGTTTTCATCTGGTTAGCTGATGATGGGTTTGTTTAGGGGATGGATTTTTTTAAAGGGTTTTTTTGAAAATGGGGGTTTTATTCTGGGGTTTCAAGAGTTTTCAACGGGATTTTCCCAAAATTCTGGGGCCATTTTAGGGTACATCAAATTTTTTGTAAAACATTTACCCAACTTTGGGAATGTCATAGAGTTTTTGTGTCTGGTGTCGTTTTCTATGGGTCCTGTTGCAACAACCCAAGAAATTTTTTTGGGTTCCGGGTTTAAAATTAGATTTATGGTTCTGTAAAGTAGACGGCATAATATTTGGGTGTAAATTTTTCTGTATGGTGAGTGGGTTTAGGCCCTTTGAAGGGGGGGGTGTTGCTTTTCTTCCTGGACTGCGGGATAATTCTCACTGTGGTTTATTTTTGGGGTTTTTTAACATTTTTAAAAGGTTTTGCTACGTTGATCACCATGCACTAAAAGCATAGGTGAGGTAGGGATAATGAGGGGAAAAAGTAAAAGTGTGAGTAGGTTCTTTTGTGGTATTATAACATATCTTAGAAGGATCCCAACTTTTTTGGGATATTTTTTTTGCTATTAGGGGATGGGGGGGAGATTTCGGTTGCGGGTGCGGGGCCCGGGAAATTTTGGGCCCCCTCATTATCAGAACATAAAAAAGGGAGGAACACGCAACGGGGCCTGCGGGCCCAAATACTGGGCATGTTTTTTAAAAAACCAACCCCCACTAACAAACAAATGCTACCAAGCAATAAGCCAGGTCAAGTCCCACTAAACCCCCAAACCCCCTCTCACTCATGATTTTTTTTTTTTAACAAGTCGGCCCGCCCTCCCGCCGGGCAGGGTGCCCCAAAAAGAAAGAAAACCCCAAAAAGAAAATATTTTTCATAAACGTTCAACACTTTTCAAACCCACTCCACTTTAAACACTGTTTCTGCAGAGGGGCCCAAAATACAACAGTTTAGAAGTAAATACATATAAAAAACACAATTAATCCTTTAAAATGCTAATATCCCCAAAACCCCCCCTATAGAGTGCAGGCATTGACTTCCCATTTTTAGGCCATGTCCGTTTTATAAAATAACTGGTTCCCTAATCCCTTTACTAAATTTACCCTGCTCAACCCCTCCAACAGCTTTGTCAGGTCCCAAAAAAACCCTTTGGCCCATTCACTCCTATCCCAACACGCCCCAAGTATGTTTGCTGGAATCCCAAAACCCCCCGCCCACCCAAAACCCCTTTACCCCCCCCCCTCTAAAAAATTTTTAGGCCGGGCCCCTACCCCGCCTTCATTCCCCAAATATTTTTAAAGCTCTTTATTTTCATTCCCACTTTATTTATTTTCCCCTAAAAAGACCAAACCACCTCCCCCAATTCCTCTTCAGCCCTCGACTAAACTTTTTTTTAACCCACACCTGCCCCAAAATTTTCCCCACTTTCCCAATTTTTTGCATAATATTACACCACACACTGCCCTTTAGACGGACATCTCCAATGCCTCCAAATGCCCCCTCGCGCAAGAATTTCAAAACCCCCCCTTTACACCCATATAAGTGTGGTTTTACTACTATACCTTCATCCATTCCCTTTTTTTGCATCCATAGATAACATTTTTTGCCTCCACATATACCTCAATGCACCAATCACCTTTTTTCCATCATCAATTCTATGATTAACATCATCCTTCATAACTCCATCCGCTGACACGTCAACTCCCAAATATCTGAAAACATTCACTTCTTCCATACTCCTCCTCCCCAATTTGATATCCAATTTTTCTTTATCTAAATCATTTGATATCCTCATCATCTTACTCTTTTCTGTGTTCACTTTCAACTTTCTACCTTTACACACACTCCCAAATTCGTCCACTAACCACTGCAATTTTTCTTTAGAATCTCCCAAAAGGACATTATTATTATTTTTTTTATTATCACACTGGCCGATTCCCACCAAGGCAGGGTGGCCCGAAAAAGAAAAACTTTCACCATCATTCGCTCCATCACTGTCTTGCCAGAAGGGTGCTTTACACTACAGTTTT